CCCCCAAGCACTGAACTGGGAGTAGCCCCTGAACTCTGCCGGATGCGCCACCTCCCCTCAAAAAGAAAAGAAGAGAAGGAAAGAAAAAATGCTGAACCGTTGATCTAAGAGCGCCTAGAGAGGAGCCCCGGGGAGAGCGGAGAGGGCTCGTGTGCGCACGCGCCAGCCACGCTAGGGTCCAGGTTTCATTCCATGAAATTTCCCACCCTGAAACGCGCCACTGCGTTTCCCACCCGCTTCTCCCCCACGAAAACTCCCAGGTGTGGCCCTAGTGTGATCCGGGCACCAGAGGGCCTGCGCCAAACCCCCGTTTCTGGGGCTGGAGCGATAGCGCAGCGGGGCGGGTGTTTGCCTTGCACGTGGCCAACCCGGGTTCGACCCCCAGCACCCCATAGGGTCCCCCGAGCACCGCCAGGAGTCATTCCTGAGTGCAGAGCCGGGAGGAAGCCCTGTGCATCGCCGGGTGTGACCCAAAAAGAAAAGAAAAAAACTTGTTTCTGGGTCTAGACTTCAAACCCTTAGACCCTCATAGCCTCATCCCCAGGAGGGGCCCCCACCGTCACATGGAAGGAAGAGACCGGCCCGAAGAGGCTGAACTGGTGAAAGCAGACAGCAGAGCCCACCCGATGGTTCTGTGGTTCCGGTATTGATTGGTTCAGGCAAATAACTGACCTGGCACGTTGGTTCTTTTGCATTGTCCCAGCCCCCTCTCTGTCATTTCTGGGGATTGCTGGGCTTTACGCATTTTTTTCTCTTGGCCTTAGAGCGTGTGGGTTGCTTGTCCCTCTCTTTCTGCTTCACTTCCTTGTCTGCCTCCTCCACCTCCCCCTCGTGTGTGTGTGTGTGTGTGTGTGTGTGTGTGTTTCTGGAAGATTCATCTGTTAAAGAAATCTCTTCTCAGTGACTTGGAATGTGGGTCCTAACTGCCCCTGACCGCAAAGCTCTTTGATGTTTTTTTTTTCCAAATCTGACTTCCAATCGTATCCCTGGTGAAGGTCTCCGTCCCGTACGTTTGCGTGTGCGTATGCGTGCGCGCACGTGTGTTTCAGTATCCCTGCTCTTGTCAGATCACCAGGATTCGCCTGTCGTTGCTGGTCCCTTTAGCGGAGCGGTTCTTGTGTGTCTGTCCAAGTCTCGGGTGCTGAGGTTCCGGGCGGCCTGGAAACTTGAGAAGCCGCGCGCCCCCTTCCCGCGGAGATTTCCACCAGGATAAGGTTGCTCTCCCAGACGCAGACTCTCCTCCTCCGTCATGGTATCGGGATTCCACCGTGATCACTCCATCATCCTGCCAGCCATGTCTCATTTCTCATCCTGGAGAACTCCCTCCTCCCCGCGCAGTGGGAAGCCCCAGTCTGGGTGCTTTATCTGGTCCAGGCTCTCCGGCCCTTAAATTGTTCGTCTGGCTTTGTGTTTCGTTTGACCCTAGTACGCTGGGTCGCACTGTCTGAAGAGAATTATGTCCCCTCCGATGTCTGGGTGCATTTCTCATTTCTAACTGCAGCTCCTGAGCAGATCTGTAACTTCAAGGTTAAGATAAGACACATTCCATCAGAACTATGTCGTCATCCTTGCCAGCTTCTGATCTGTGACCGTCCAGGAGATTTACAAGACAAGTGCCTGCCATTCTTTATAGAATATTATGGTTGGACTCTGACTCCTGGCATCGGGCCCAGTTTGATTTGTCAGCTGTTACAAAATCCATTTCCCAAAGAGAGGGACGGGAGGCAGTGGTCACGGATGGAAAGCGGGGGATTGATTCGACTCTGCGTTCTGTCTTGGAGGGCCAAGGTGGACGCCAGAGTGGTTTTGCCCCTCATACCGTGGAAGTCGTGTTTTCTGTCCTGAAAGGGGTCACCGCAGTCGTGGGGTTGCCATCCTCCGTTCCCGGCCTCTGTCCCTTCTCGCAGGATGACCGTTGCTCTTCATCCTGCCGTCCCCAGTGCTGTTCGGAGTTGCAGGTAGCACGCATCTATTTTAATCCATCCTGGAACAGGAGCTCACCTGCCTACTCCACCAGCTGATTCGTTTGTCTGCGCCGAGTTAGCATAGACCTCTTCTCCCTCTCTTGCCTTCTGCGAACGCGTTGAGCTCCAAGAGTTAACTGCGTATCGTACGGTTAAAGGAATTTGGAAGGTCATGAATTTCTGCTGTTTTATTCGACCCTATAAGACTTGCACAAAATTTCTCTTTGGGGGATTTACAGCACTTTGGTTTCATCATAAACTTTCTCTTCTCCTAGTAGGTAGGCAGTGGGGATTCATTTGGCCCATTTTAGATCCTCGGTTAGATTAAAAAAAAATTTGACCGGCTGGAGTGGTAACACAGCGGGTAGGCTGTTTGCCTTGCACATGGCCGACCCGGGTTCGATTCCCAGCATCCCATGTGGTCCCCCAAGCACCACCAGGAGTGATTCCTGAGTGCAGAGCCAGGAGTAACCCCTGAGCATCACTGGGTGTGACCCAAAAAAGCAAAACAAACAAAAGAATTGACCAGGAATCCTGTTTAAGGAGACCCTCCCCCTTCATAATACATGAACTTCCCTTCCTCTCTTTCCTTTCCCTTTTCTTGAATATTTTATGAAAAAACAATTTTTAGTTTACTTACATGAATGAGATAATATCTCTTTCTTACTTTGGACACCCTGGCAGGCTACCGAATGTCACCTGCCCACAGGGCAGAGTCTGGCAAACTCCCTGTGGCGTACCCAATATGCCAAAAACCAGTAACAATGATGGGTCTCATTCTCCTAACCCTGAGAGAGCCTTGAATATGGCACTTTTTAAAATCTCAGGGCTAGGACGAAGGAGACGTTACTGGGGCCTGCTCGAGGCAATCTACGAACAACAGGATGATCGTGAGTTACTTACACGGCAAGTTAATCACCAGATCAGAATTCTGATCTAAATTCTGTGGTATTTTCACATAGCCCTTCTCTGAGAGTTTCATTTCATTTTTTTTAATTAGGGGCCTGTGAGAAAGCTCAGAGCCCCCAGTGCTGTGCCACTTGGTCCTCCAAGCGCTTCAAGGAGTGAGCACCAACCCGAGTATTGCTGGGTGTTGTCGACTTTTTTTTTTTTTTTTTTAGGAAGAGGGTTGAGGATATAGCCCAGTGATAAGACCATTTGCTTTGATACGTGAGGATTTGGTTGAATTCCCGCGAAAACAAAAGTTCTGAAGTTTGTTCTTTGAGTCAGTCCGTCTCTGTCTATTTTCACTGTGAAGAAGCCTGTGTTCTCTCTTCGTTTTATTTTATTTTGGGGGATGGGGGGTTGGAGGAGAGTGATACCTAGGAGTGCTCAGGGCTGATTCCTGGCTCTGTACACAGAGGTCACTCCTGGTGGTGTCCAGGGAGCCACATGGGGTGCGGGGAATCGAACCCGGGACCCACCCTGTGCAAGGCAACCGCCCCACCCGCTGGACCATCGCTCAGCCCCCTGCTGTGTTCTCCAGCACACGCTTCTTTCCCTCCCTTCACATATTTCCAAGTAAGGCCCAGTAAAAACTGTTCCTCTTACTTTGCGCGCGCGCGCGCGCACACACACACACACACACACACACACACCTAAAAACTAAAAAGGCAGCTTTCAATTCCAAGATTTCCTGATGGGGCCGTTCAGAGTAGAGGGAAAATCTCTGTAGTCGAAGTGTCTGCCTTGGGGTCAGAAAGATAGCGCTGCGCTTACGGTCTCATGTCTCGCACATGGTCTCCCCACACTGCTGGGTTGACCAAAAGACCCAGAAAAAGGCCACCTTTGGTCGTCTTATCTGGCTTTGTCTGATCATCAGACTAATCACTCTGTTTTCCCCTCAGTCACATACTTGCTCTGATCGTCTGTTGTTTTGATTTGGGGCCACATCTGGTGGTGCTCAGGAAATACGTATTCCTGGCTGTGCTTTTAGGAATCACTCCTGGTGGTGCTCGCGGGACCATATGGGATGCTGGGATTAAAACCCCGGTCGGGGAGGCAAGGTCGGCAAGCGCTGGACGTCTGGCTATAAAGACCGTCTGTAAGGCTGAGGGTATTCTAATACTTTTAAAGACCAAGCCAGGAAAGTTTTTGAAACTGCATGCGTGTATACATCGACCTACAATTTCATTTGAAAGGTTCTTTTCTTTGCCCTGGGGCCGCTCTGGCTGTGCTCTGACTCACGCCCGGCCCTGAGAGCAGGGATCCCTCCCTCCCTCCTGGTGGGACTTGGGGGACACCCAGGTACCAGGCTCAGAGCCCTGGTCTGCTTTGTGAACGCCGGTCGGTCGGCTGCTACGCGCGAGGCCAGTGCCCTGCCCGCTGTCCTCGCTTCTCTGGCCTCTCTGACTTCACCGGGAAGGTGCTTCGCTCGTGCTTGGTGCCTCCAGGTTTTGCTTCTGTACGAACTGGCCCTCCCAGAAGGAAAGTTGCGTCATGCCTGTGCAGGACTACCCTTCCCCCTCTCTCTCTCATCCCCCTGCTCCCGCGGCTTCCCCCCCCCCACACACACACAAATTTTAATTAACTGTTCAGTGACAGATGGTGGAAGGCCTAGTCTGAGCGCTTCTGGGGGGCCGAGTAGGGGGTGGGTGGTGGGCGGTTGGTTCCGATTCTGCTGCGCGGGACCCGGCCCTTCCCCTCCCCCCTCCTCGCCGGCCCTCGCGGTTCCGTTCCACGAGCGGAGATTGCCTGAGATTGCGTGGATTCATTCCCGGTGCTGGTCCGGAACGGGCTGGGTGCGGGGAGCGCCCGGGCCTGGAGGGCGGGGAGGGGCCCTCCAGCTCGCCCCGAAAGGGAAAGTTCTGGGGCCTTTCAACTTTCCCCGCGGCCTCCCCGCCCCCACCCCCACCCCGGCCTGTAGGCTGCCGGTTGCCACGGCAACGGGCCGGGACAGCTGCGCAGTGGCGCCCGGGCAGCGGGTGGGGGCGGGGAGCTGCCAGCCCGCCTGGCCGGACCTGGGCGGGGGCCCCTCCCGACGCCCGAGGGAGGAAGGACGGGCGAGCCGGGAGGTAAGGAGGGACCCTGCGCCCGCTCCCCGGGGCCCCTCTCCTGCGGGCCCCTGCTGGCTGCCCGGAGAGCGCCCATGCGGACCCTGTTCTTCCTGGCGGGGTGGGGGCGGCCCTGGCCCGGGACCGGCTGCAGCCGACCACGCTCCGACCTGACCGCCGGGCGCCCGGAAATTCCAAGGTGAGTGGGGGCGGGGGTCCCCCCGGAACAGGACGTTTCCTGTTTCTGTCCGCCCTGGAGAGCAATCCCTCTCTCTGGACGGAGCCTGGGGCTGTCTTCTCGATTAATGGGCAGAACCGCTTTGGAACCCCTCGCCCACATTCTTCTGCACGTTCTTCCAAAAAAGCGTTTTCATGAAAACTGTGTTGTTGCAAGGCCGCAGTAGGTGCGAGCGGTTTTGTGGTTGGTTCTCTCTCTCTCTCTCTCTCTCTCTCTCTTTCTTTCTTTCTTTCTTTCTTTCTTTCTTTCTTTCTTTCTTTCTCTTGAGTATGCAGATCTGTTGCTAGGAAGTTTTGCTGATGGAGTTTCCAGTTCTTCCTGAATCAGACCTTTCAGATTTTTGAGAATTCAGAGTATTTGGTTAAATGGAACTTTTCCATGCTTCTTGGCCTGAGCCAGTCTGAGCTTTGTAGTGGCTCCCCTGTTGATGGGAGTGGTCAGCATGGAAATAGTTTAGAGCATGCTGAAAGAAATCTTCAAAGGTGACAGCAGAATAAAAATGGAGTTCAGCTAAGAAAACATTTCGTGCTAATCCCCAGTGCAGACTGTAGGCATCATTTAATATAGTCAAGGAAGAATTCTAAAAGATCGTTGTAGCAACATGGTGGGAATTTGAAGAAGAAAAAAACCTAGACTTTCTACTGAGTACCCCCTAGCTGTGCATATTTCTGAGCTTAACTCAATTTCCATTTGTGTTGCCTTTTTTTCAGCTTTCCTTGAGTCTGTGAATGGTTCCTCTGTGTCTTGAGGGTTTGCGTTGCTGTGAGTGTGGGGCCAGACTTTTTCCTCCTCCTCTACCTCTGGCCCAGCGCCAGTCTCAGTGAGGAGGAGACAGAACTCCTTAAGTCTTGGAATCAGCTGGGCCTTCAGAGTTCACCGAACGGGGCCGGAGCAGCAGTACAGCGGGCAGGGTGCTTGTCTTGCGCACGGCCAACCAGGTTGGATCCCCAGCATCCCGTGTAGCCAGGAGTGACCTCTGGACATTGCCGGGTGTGACCCAAAAGGAAAAGAGAAAAATATAGTGAACAGTCCAGTGCCAATTTTTGAAGCTTCGAACTAAAAATTTTCTCTTCCTTCCCATCCCGAAATGGAAAATGTGGGGTTGAACATTATCATAACAACACAGAGAGGTAAAGCCACTCCTTCAGATGTGCCAGGTGTGGGCCTTGCTTTTGTGAGCTGATGGATGCTCTGAGGGAACCAGCTCGGTTTGTTTGAGGGGAAACGTCCCGTTTCACTAGAAGTATCTTGAAAGGCCTAAAAGGAGGGAAGAGCATTTTGGTGGCTTCTTTTGGCCTTTTATAAGCAATCATTCACTTTGCAGGGAAAGTCTTTAAGTCTGTCAGGGGTTCCTTTCCCTGGAAATGGTAAGTCCTGACTTTGAAACTGACGCAGAAGTGTCTGAACACACTTGGTTGTCTTTTGGAATCTGAAGCTAGAGAAGATAAACATTGTGGCATCAAATGATTTGGGTCTTAAGGAAAGGGAAAGTGGGGCTGGAGTGATAGCACCGCGGGGAGGGCATCTGCCTGGCACGCGGCCGACACAGGTTCGATCCCCAGCATCCCATAGGGTCCCCGAGCACCGTCACGAGTGATTCCTGAGTACAAAGCCGGGAGTAACCCTGAGCATTGCCAAGTGTGACCCCAAAAGCCAAAAAAAAAGAAAGAAAAGGGAAAGTTGTGGGTGGGAAATCAGGGGTTGACTCTTGTTCTTGAATTCTTCAGACCAGCCTGTGGAAGGCCTGAGACCCAGGAGGAGGAAAGGCGCTCGGCTGTTCTGTGGATCCTATCAGAATACGGCAAAGCTGCTGACTCCTCGTGGAGCCTGAGCCTTTTGTCCTTATTTTGCAGGAACCCGGTGGCTTTAGTTCTTCGGCGGAACAGAGTGCGACATGGGAAAGAAAACCAAGCGGACAGCTGACAGTTCTTCTTCGGAGGATGAGGAGGAATACGTCGTGGAGAAGGTGCTAGACAGGCGTGTGGTTAAGGGGCAAGTGGAATATCTGCTCAAGTGGAAAGGCTTTACCGAGTAAGTGCCTTCGCGTGGGCTGGAGGAGTTTGAGGAGCCTGAGTGTCCCAGAGAGAGGCGTGGGTGCGCGGGGACTTGAGCGTTTGGTGGCCGAGATGCCGGGGATGGCGATGGACAGGCAGAGGACCGGACCGGGGAACGGAGAAACGGGAGCCGGGTCCCAGGCTGGGCGGTGGGCGGTTCATTTCTCTCTCCTCCCCGCACAGTCCCGTCTCAGTCGTCGTTTTGGTCACAGTCCCCGCTCTCATAGTACCGTCATCCTAGTCTCCTCGTGGACCTCAAAGTCCTCTCTTTTGTTGTGTCGTCTTCTTCCTCTCGACGTGGTCACATAGTCCCCTACCGCCAATCATGGTCGTCATCCAGTCCACCTCCTAGTCCCAAAGTCTCCAGAGTCTCGGTTCTCGTCCTCGGTCTAGTTGTCGTCTTTCTAGTGCCCTCTTCTACAGAGATCACGAAGGGTGGGGAGACACAAAGGTAGGGTTGACCTTTATCGTAACAACAAGCAAGAGGTAAAGCCACTCCTTCAGGAGATTCAGTCAAGGACAAAATCTCATCTGAGGGTTCAGCACTCCAGGTCACTAGGACATCCGCTCCAGGGCGGGGATTCCGTCTAGGGTGTATTGCTTTCTCCTTTCCTCAGCTAATAATCCACTTAAACAATAAATTTATTTCTTACAATATTTCTAGCAATGTCCTTTTGTGTGAACACAGTAAGAGGTATAATAAGGTTAAAGATGGGCTCTTCCTGGGAACATCTCGCTGTATTTTCCAGACCACAGTCCTCAGGCCAGGTTAGTCTTGCCTAACCCCTTATGCAGTTACTTCATTTTGGGTCATGTCCGTGACCGTGCTCTTAACTTGTAGTTAAAAGTATTATGGCGCTTGGCCTGGCCCATTCGATGCCAGGGTAGCTCACAGCTTGCCCTGGGTCCATCCAGTCCCTCGCCGAGATCCTGCTTTTGGGGTGCCAGGGGCTGGGTGCAACGTAAGCGACAAAGCTTAAAGCAAGTCAATATGGATGCCCAGGAGTAAGTGTTATTTTGGAGTCAGCTGACTCCCATGTTACATAGCACAGCATCAACTGTCTTCCTGTGTCTGTACAAAAAGGACATTGCTAGATGAGCCGTGCAAATGACATAAAGGAAAGAGAAAAGCAAGATAGGATTATAAGTGTTTGAGGGAATTGGGTGTGCCTCGGGGCACTGTTGTGGGAGTGGCTTGATAGACCTAAGCTCCCTGGGGGAGGAGCAAGGACACCCCAATGTTATCCGGAAGAGGGGTCCATGCCCTTGACCGAGTTTGCCGGAGAACCACCTCCATTTCTTTCTCCTTCCTCACTTGCTCTCTTCTTTTTAATTTTTTTTTTTTTTAAGAATCAGAGGACACAGTAATATACTAAAAGTCCCTTCAGGGGGCTGGAGCAATAGCACAGCGGGTAGGGCGTTTGCCTTGCACGCAGCCGACCCGGGTTCGATTCCCAGCATCCCATAGGGTCCCCCGAGCACCGCCAGGAATGATTCCTGAGTGCAAAGCCAGGAGGAACCCCTGAGCATCGGCTGGGTGTGACCCAAAAAGCAAAAAAAAAATGTCTCCTTCAAGTGGTTGTTGAAATGATGGATTGCAAAGGCAGAGTGATTGAGTGATGAATTGATTAGGACTATAGATTTGGGAACCAGATTGCCTGGGTCCAGATTCTTGCTCTGCCAACTATGATAGAAACTGGGTGACTTTGGTAAAGTTCCTCCATCATTTATCCTCGGTAAATAGCGAGAAGAATCAGATGTCAGTAACTGGACAGAGCCTGACATAACTCCAGGGTAGCTGTCGATTACTCCTGCTATAGTGCTTGCGGGTAACTGCTAAAATATATTCATTTACGCAAAGGGAGCATCAGTCCCCTCCTAGCTCGTACTTCCCCCAGAACGATCTTTGGATCTCAGAAGTGTCCTAGAATGAAGTTCTCTTCTTCCCAAGAGAGTAAAGTATAAGAACAACATATTTCCCTCCCCCAACATTTTATCTTGAAAAATTTATTCTAGAACAATAATAATAAAATGGAAAAGCTAAAAATTTTATTCTTTTGGGGGTGTTTTGGGCCATACCTGTCGGTACTCAGGGGTCACTCCTCGTGTGCTTGGGGGGACTGTATGGGATGCCAGGGATTGAACCCAGGTCAGCTGCGAGCAAGGCAAGTGCCCTAACCGCTGTCCTACTTCCCCAGTCCCTCTTTTTTTTTTCTCTTTTTGGGTCACACCCGGCGATGCACAGGGGTTCCTCCTGGCTCTGCACTCAGGAGTTACTCCTGGCGGTGCTCAGGGGACCCTATGGGATGCTGGGAATCGAACCTGGGTTGGCTGCGTGCAAGGCAAACGCCCTCCCCGCTGTGCTATGGCTCCAGCCCTTTTTTGAGAGTGTTTTGATTTTTCAGTTTTGGGGCCACCTTTCTGCTGTGGCTCGGGGCCTCCACATGGTGCCAGGGACCCAACAGTGCTCTCCGGCACGCAGAGCGTGAACTCAGCCCTCTGTGCTCTTTTTCCAGCCCTCGGTCAGTGACACTTACGAGCAAGACGGAAATGTCGAATAGAATATCCATTAGGTACTAAGTAACTTGCTTTACACTGAAGTGCTAGGGTAGTTTATGCTTTGCTTTGAAACAGAAAGAACTGGCACCTATCACCATCGAGGAGGTAGCTTGGAAGGGGGAGTCTGGAGCTGGAAGATGGGCTGCAGGGGTCAGAAGCGCGTGCTTGGCATTTCGGGGCCCTGGTCCTACCTCTGACACGTGCATGACCTGCAGAGCATTGCCAGGGTGGCCTGGTGGTCCCAGGCACCGCAGAAGCCAAGCAGCACCCCCCTTCAGCCCTCCTCTTACATCTCTGCGTAGTGCTAGGAGCTACCCCCAGCCGCCTGAGCACTGCTCGGGAGACTCAGTCCAAATCAGGTGAGGCTGCACACCTGTGCATTTTGCTTCGGTTTCTGATTTTCCCCGGAAAAGGAAGCTTGATACCAGAGGCGAGCGGAGAGGAGCCAAATTGGCTCTTTGACCACAAGAGCCCTTCTGGTCCACAGGAGTATCATCCACATTCAGGGATGGGGAGACTGAGGCTGGAGTGACAGCGCAGTGGGTGGGGCGCTTGCCCTGCGTGCACTCACCTGGGTTTGATGCTCAGCTTCGCATGCGGACCCTCACGCCACCTCACTGCAGCAGCTTTAGAAAGCTCGGAGCGCAGGAAAAGTTCCAGTTGCTTTTTCTGAAGTGGTGGTGGGTCTGGAAGAGCTGGTAGTTTGTTTGTTTGTTTTCTTTCTGGGTCACACCCAGCGATGCTCAGGAGTTACTACCCCTGGCGGTGCTCAGGGGACCCTATGGGATGCTGGGAATCAAACCCGGGTCGGCCGCGTGCAAGGCAAACGCCCTACCCGCTGTGCTATCTGCTGAGTGCAGAACCAGGAGCATTGCTGGGTGTGACCCAAAAAGCAAAAAGAAAAAGAAAAAAGGAATAATAGTATTACAACTTCTTGTAGAGAAGAGTCTGAGACCTAGACCACTATAAAACGGGAATTAAAATAACAAACCTGAAAGAGTTTAGCTTTTGTGTATAGACAGAGCATTCAAGATGTGCAGGGGGCCTGTTAAATCACTGCTGGAAGTACTTGGGTATCTTGTAAGAAGTGACTTGTGAAGAGCATGTAACATAAGTGCTAGAACGAGGGTCAGGTATAAGATTTCTCTGGCCCTAGACCTCGAGCCCAGACTTTTCGAAAGAATGCCAGGCTTTCTTTGGGGTGAAAACAGGTTGCTGTGGAAACAGCAGTACCGGAGTGATGGGAAAAGGGAGACTCCAGTATAGGTCTGTCCTTCCCGGCTCCTACTGGGAACTCACCCCCTGTTCATGCTTTTTTATGAGACTGTTTGCATGACTCTTGGCTTTGATGCTTTCGTTTCTTCTGGGATAAATAGACTTTATGGTCTATAGATCGGGGCAAAGTTACCAAAGAAGAAATGTTTTGTTTTGTTTCGTTTTGTTTTTGCTTTTTGGGTCACACCCGACGATGCACAGGGGTTATTCCTGGCTCATGCACTCAGGAATTACTCCTGGCGGAGCTCGGGGGACCATATGGGATGCTGGGACTCGAACCCGGGTCGGCTGCATGCAAGGCCAACACTCTACCCGCTGTGCTATCGCTCCAGCCCCAAGAAGAAACGTTTTGTTCTTGCCGAAAGCAAGACTTTGAAGGAGAGACTTTTAGACGAAATAAGTTTGTGTCATGCTTAAGCTCCCTTTGCGAGAAGTTAAATCTAGAGTATGACTTCCTCCCCATCATTTTGCTTTCTGTCTGAGTCACGTTTTTGTGGCATGTGTTCAAAACATTTCCACCGAAACATCTCTTTGGGGAGGGCTTTGCACCCACTGATGGATGTTCAAGGACTCCACTCCTGCCGTGCTCAGGAGCCTGCGCAGTTGAGGACCGAACTCGTCTCTCCCGTTTGCAGGGCCTGCACTCAACCCTTGGCGCTGTCTCTGCAGCCCCAGGGAACCTTTGAATACGTTCATCTTGACTCTGGAACCTAAAGACTTTGGCCACTGGCTAGGACCAACGGCAAGGTCTGGTTTAGATTTTCCCACTTAAAAATATTTCTTCCTGGGGCTGGAGCGATAGCACAGCGGCGAGGGCGTTTGCCTTGCCCGCGGCCAACCCGGGTTCAATTCCCAGCATCCCACAGGGTCCCCCGAGCACCGCCAGGGGTAATTCCTGAGCGCAGAGCCCGGAGAAACCCCTGTGCATCGCCAGGTGTCACCCAGAAGCAGACCAGGGTTTTATCCTTTGGCCCCTGGTGCTAGGGATGGGGTGAAGGCCTTTGTTTTGAAGGTGGGCAAGGGGTCTGCTCTGAGCCACGTCACCAGCCCACGGCATTTTCTTGCTTTGAACCTACCGGCAGTTAGTGGTTTGAGTTTCTAATCTAATGCCAAGAATACGGAACGATTTTGTGAATAACAAAAATTTGTTTACTTCCTCATAATACTCACTTGGGCCAAGTTGCAGTTAGGTCTCATGAGGGTTTTCTTCTTTTTTCTTTACTTAAAACTATTTTTTGACTCCCTGGGAATGTAAACAGGACATTGAATTATTATGCTTCAAATCCCGCCTTTGAGACTTTTCCTTTTTATTGTGTGCCTATATTTTAATGACCTAATGCGTCTATTTTAATGATTTAACTGACGTTACTGCATCTTTTGCTTTAGGAAAATTCAAAAACAAAAGCCAACTATCTTCTCTTCAGGATTTACATAGATAGTGGTTCCCAAATATATATAGCCTACTATGTGCTCCGTTTCAGGAAGAAAACAAAAACAAACCCCTCCCCCCCACCAAAATCTCTCTCTTTTTTTTTTTTTTTTTTTGGTAAGGTGAGGGGGTGAGGGGCTTACTCCTGGCTCTGCACTCAAGGGTCACTCCTGGTGGTGTGCAGGGAACCGTATGGGGTGCTGAGTATTGAACAGTGGTCAGCTGCATGCAATATACTATTATTCTGGCCCGGGGAATCTTCCTTCTTGAAGTGAATAGACAGTATGTATCTTCCATATGCACCTTAATCTTTACCCTCCAACCCTATGGGTATAGCCCGCTCTGGAAAAAACTTGCAAAGTTAGCTGTATGTGTGAAAGTACATATTTGATCATTTCTAAAAACGTTTCCTATCTGAAGTTTTAATACCTCTATTGAGGTATGATTTATAGCACATAAAATTAATCAGAAATGAATTAGGGGGCTGGATGATAGTGCAGTGGGTAGAGCAGTTGCCTTGCATGCAGCCAACCAGGGTTCAATCCCTGGCGCACACATGTCCCCTGAGCCCTGCCAGGAGTGTTCCCTGAGCACAGAGCCAGGAGTAAGCCTTTAGCATTCCCCGTGTGGCCAAAAGACCAAAACAACAGCAACAGCGAAAAAAACAACAGGCCAAGTTGGTGAGTTAAAGGAAGTCGGAAGAGCTGTGAAGCCGCATTTCCCTAAGCTCTAGATTTCCCACCCTCGGGGAATCTCTGGTCTGCTGCTTGTCGCTTAAGTTTGTCTTTCCTAAAAGCTTCGGGCAAGTGGAACCAGACAAGGTCAGGGGCGGAGCTCAGTGGTGCCCCCCGCTTCACGTTTGGGACCCTGAGTTTGATTACTAGCTTAGTAGAAGCATGAAAAGATAGGGCCAGGGAGAGGTCGCTCAGGAGGCTGCAGCGAAGCGTGCGGGAGCCCCCGCGGCAGCCTGGAAGTCTTAACTCATGAAGCTGGAGTTGAGCCAGACGGGCCCGGAGCGGGGTACAGAGGGTGGGGCCTTTCCTTGCAGCGCCGACCCGGGTTCGGTTCCCAGCACCCCCTATCTTCCCGTGAGCACTGCTAGGAGTGATCCCTGAGTGCAGAGCCAGGAGTCGCCCCTGAGGACCACCGGTGTGGCCCCCGTCTCCCCCACAAAATGGAGCTGGACAATATAAGTCTTTTACATCTGTTTTCTTGGTGGACAGAGGGTTGGTCTGTCCAACCTGGCAGTGCTCTGGGACTCCTGCCTCTGTGCTCAAGGGAACCCGATGTGGTCCTGGGAACTTGAACAGTGTCAGCCACATGCGAGGCGAGCGCCTAAGCCCTGGGATCTCCCCAGCCCGGCCTCTGGTTTCTTTCACTTCGGATATTTCTGAGGTTCTTGCATGTGGTGGCATGTGTTGATATTTTGCTCTTTTTTCTTGTTGGCTCGGTCAGACCTGGCAATGCTCAGGGATTACTCCTGGCTCTGCACTCAGGAATCAGTCCTGGCAGCAGTGCTCCTGGGACCGTACAGGATGCTGGGGATCGAACCCGGGTCATACAAGGCGAGCGTCTTACCGGTACTCTGTACTAAATCTTCAGCCCCAATATTTTGCGTGTGTGTGTTGTGTGTGTGTGTGTGTGTGTGTGTTGCAAAATAGCACTCCATTGTGGGTCATGCCATATTTTATTCATCCACTAGTTGGTAACGATTGAATTTTCCCTTTCTTTTCTGGGCCACACCCAGTGGTGCTTAGGACTTACTCATTGCTCTGTGCTCGGGGGTTACTCCTGGTGGGGCAGGGGGTACCGTATGTCGAACTGGATTGAACCCTGGACAGCCGTGTGCAAGGCAAGCGCCTTTCCTACTGTCCTGTTTCTCTAGCCACTGAATTGTCTTTCCTATTTTTGCCTATTGAAATGCTACTGTAAATAATTGCGTGCAAGTTTTTGTCTGAACATATTTCCTCCTTTCTCTTGGGAGGGTCCTTGCTCATACTAATTTCCTTCTTTAAGCCTGGGGTTTCTTTTCTCTTTTGCCAGTTTGTCTTCTTTGACTCTTAAAATTCTTGTATTGAATTTTTCCCTTCATTCTTTCCCCTTCTTCTCCATTCCTCTCGCCCAGGGAGCACAATACCTGGGAACCCGAGAAAAACCTGGATTGCCCCGAGCTAATTTCTGAGTTTATGAAAAAGTATAAGAAGATGAAGGAGGGAGAAAACAACAAACCCAGGGAGAAGGCAGAAAATAATAAGCGGAAATCCAATTTCTCCAACAGTGCTGATGATATCAAGTCCAAGAAAAAGCGAGAGGTAAGCCTCCTTCTGTTCCCCGCGCTCTGTTCTTCGGCCTGCCTGGCTGCCTGTCGCCCACCCACCCGCGAGGGCTTTTTGGACTCGTTCTGTTTCGAGTCGACCTCCACAGGGAGGCTGGTGAACAAAGGGGCTTTCGAGCTGTGTCCGTTCACTCTAGTGCCCCCTCCTGGCTTGGGTGTGCAATGGAGCCATAGAATCGATCGCCCTGAAGAAGTGAAATTGCTGTGAAACGCAGCCCTTCTCCAACTTTCCCATAAGCAGGAGACCGCTCTCTTACCGAGGGACAGTCTCTGGTGACACTTGGTGGCTTGATCCTGGCATCGCATGCCGGAGACCTCGCAGGACCTCCTGCTGCAAAGCAGTGTGCGGTTGTCTTTTGGCGAATTGTTTGGGGGCCGTTTTTGGCTTAGCTCAGGGGTGACTCCTGGCTCAGTGCTCAGAGGTTGCTCCCAGAGGTGACTCGGGCTCCATGAGGGTCCCAAGCCTTCTGCACGCGAGGCTTGTGCTCCAACCCCGGGGGCCTCCCTCCAGCACGGTGAGATTTTGTCTAGTGGGGGCCATGCGCTGCCATCCTCTGGTGCTACTCTGGAGTCTGTGCTCAGTGGTACTCAAGGAGACCTGTGCCGAGGCTCAAACCCAGACTTGCTGTGTGCAGAGTCGGCCCTTGGCCCTTTAAGCTGTCTCTGGCTGTCCAGAACACTGAATTTCTTTCTTCTTCGGAGCGGGCAGCGGGGAGGGGACACGCCCAGCAATGCGCAGGGCTCGCTCCTGGCTCTGCATTCAGGGATCATTCCTGGCTGTCCTCAGGGGACCATATGCTGTCCCAGAGATCAAACCAGGGCCAGCTGTGTGCAAGGCAAGCACCAGACCCTCTGTACGATCTTTCCGGCCCAGACCTAGTGAGTTTCTTCAGGACAGAAGAGAACTGACAGTTTAGGGGTTTAAGCCACACCCAAGCCCATGATGGTTGGGGGCCGTGTGGCATTGTCAGACCCAGGGTTCCTGCCGTCAAAACATGCACGCCATTTCGTTGAGCCACGTTCTTGGCCCTCTCTGTGATTGTTGGTTGACTTATTTGGTCCACATGCGTAGTTGGTCACTTTGTCCTTTCTTTTTACGTTAAACCTGGCTCTTTGGGTCGTACCTAGTGATGCTCAGGGCGTGCTCGTGGCTCTGCATCTCCCCGTGGTACCCAGGGGACCAGATGGGCTGGAATTGAACCTGGGTCGGTTGCCCCGTCGCGCCAGCCTCCATCGTTTAATTTTTTATTTTGGAGTCACACCTGGTGATGCTCAGCGCTTCCTCCTGGCTCTGCGCTTAGGAATTACTCCTGGCAGTGCTCCGGGGACCATTCGGGATGCTGAGGATTGAACCCGGGCTGGCCACATGCAAGGCACGTGGAGCCACCGGACTATCGCTTTGGCCCCGTTATTCAGTTTCACTTTCCACCCTTCCCTTCTCTGCTGCTGATGTGGTGGTGGGGGGCGGGGGGAGCACTCACATTCTGGTGTTTTCCCGTTGTCAGGTATCACCCTTGAGTTGCCTGACTGTGGTGCAGAATTGGAAAAACTACAGTGCAGCTGGAAATTGCTTGCAGAGCCAGCGGTCGCAGAAGGCATAACTCGCAGCAGTTGCACTCTGCACCGGGCAATAGTGGGACTGAACCAGGGCCAGAAGGGCGCCTTGAAAACCCGAAACTGCCTCCTCTTGGCTCAGTCAGTGAAGTCCGCAGATCCCTGCGCTGCATCTGGTTTCCCCTGAGAGCACCACCAGGGGTCACTGCTGAGCTCAGAGCCCTGAAGACCAGCAGTGTCGCAGGGTGTGGCTCAGAACCTCCCCAAGCAAAGTCAGATGTCAAGTTCAGGGCTGGGGATGTGTCTCGGTGGAGCAGTGCTGATGGCCTAACCCCCATGAGATCCTGGGTTCGTCCCCCGGCACTGCAGATTAAAGAATGTAGTGTCGGTCTCGGAGACGGACATGGTCTCTGTTTCTTTTTATTTGGAGTAGAAAATTAATTATCTTCCTTTGGAATCTTTTTATCGTTCAGGTTAGAAAGTGTATTTATGGGGCCAGAGGGACAGTAAGGCGCTGGGCTTTCACACGGCTGAGCGGGTTCAATCCCCGGCGCCCCGTATGGTCCCCCTAGTCAGCCAGGAGAGATCCCTGAGTGTAAGGCCCAAGTAAGTCCTGAGCCACTACCCAGCCTCGCCCCCCTCCCCCGCAGTGAAAAGGTGTAGCTGTGACATCTGGCTTGGAGTCCGTGCCCTTCTGATCCTGAACTGTCAAGTAAGGGGCATGAGCGGTGCCTCTTTGGGGTCTGTGTCTTTCCCTGTTCGGGTCATCCCCGAAGGTGCTTGAGGGAGCCGTGATGCCAGGGACCGGACCTGGGGCTCCTAGCACAGCATGCGCTCCAGCCCTTCAAGCCAAGTCTCTGGCCCTTGGGTGCATTTTCTCCCTCTGTGCGCACACAGATAACCCAGCCCCTAGCCTTCATCTCTGTTCGTTCATTTTAAGGTCATGAAGCCTTTGGTATTAAGGACTGTATCATACTCCTTTAAAGTTTAGTCGAAACCTAGTCCGCTCCTAGTCTTCCAGGATCGCTGTCATAAGGCATCCTTAGAGATCTTCATTCTTTTTGGGTACCCGTCAGCATCCCTTCCCAGCCCCGACTGCACCTTATCCTCATGAGGTGATGCACGCGGGACAGGCTTGAAAGCCATCTGCATCCCGACTACGGAGCATCCCAGCCAGTCCCGTTCTGATTTCTTTATTTTGGTTTGGATTTTTTGGGCCGCACTGACTGTGCTCAGGGTTGACTCCTGGCAGCTCGAGGAACCGCAGGGGTTGTTGGATGTCAGACCCAGGTGGTCCGTGTGTCCGGCAGATGCCCTACCTGCTGCACTCCCTCTCTGGCCCCGCATTCAGATTTTTGAGGGGCTGGATTTAGGCTTCAGTGTCTCAGCATTTCCTAAGGACGTTCAGGTCACTCTGGGCCTCTATAAGAAAGGAAATGGGGATAAGGAGTAAAATAGTAGCCCCGACAAGGGAAAGTCGACCCTGGATTTGTGTCGGTTTCCTTGTTTTCCTAATGAATTTTAGTTTTTACAACCTTATTGTTGAAACCGCCCTATTCTGGTGAGGTCTGTATATCATTTTTATAGATTTACCAATAAAGGGTGTAAGAAGATGTTCCTTTCTCTCGGGAGGGGGGCTTCCTTCTTGGTTTCTTTCTTTCTTTCTTTTAATTAGTCCCTTGTATTCCGGCTTTTGTCTCTCATTTCATTTTCTAGCTAGCAACACGGCCCAAGGCTTTGGACTAGCCAGTTGCAACCGAGTAACGTAACTTCAGCCTGAGATTTCCGCTCTTGGCTAGAGGGGGCGCTCTGGGAGGGCGGACATTTGCCCCGCATGTGGCTGACCTGGGTGTGATCCCCCAGTGGTCCTCCGAGCACTGCCAGGAGTGATCCCTGTGTGCAGAGCCAGAAGTAACCCCCGAGCACGGCTGGGTGTGGCCCCCCAGAACAAAACCAAGAAGAAATCTGGCCACTGTGTCGGGTCTTGTTCCCAGGCCGGGCTCTGAAACTGCTGACCTTGAAAACCACCACCGCGCTCGTCCGCGCTTCCGTTGCCGCGTTCACCTGGGGCCCCTGCCTCCCTTCCTGTCGGCAGGCAGCGGGGAAGGGGGTGATTGTATATTTTAAGGTGGGGGGGTCTTGCATTTCTTTCTTTAGACCTCTGCAGAAGAAATTTGTTAGTCGGCATTATGCCTGATTTAAGATTACTGCCTGTGTGATGATTTTAGCATTTTCCTCGCCTCGGCTCCTTTTCAGCAGCTTGGACGTTTTTCTTCCCTTCCCTCCCTATGTGGCAAACGGTTTCCAGCCGCCGGCTGTGATTTACGACTCGGCCCGTGCGCCAGCGTTCCAGCTGTGAGCAGCTGTGCGCACATCTGGGAACCTCCCCTCTCTTAAGCACCCCCAAAAGAGGCTGTGTTTTTGAATCAGTGTCTCCCCCGATCCAGGCCTGGAATTTCCTTCCCACTGTGGGTTCTGGTATCTTTCCGGGGGCCACCTGGACCCCAAATGCTTTTGTATCTCTCAGAAGAAAGCGAGACGAATGTTAGATCAAAGAGATTGTATTATAAAAGTCAGGCTTCATAGGCTTAATTTATTAGGCCAGTCCTTATAAATCTCCGTGTTGCCACTAGATAAGCTCCCATTATCTTCCACAATAAGATTTTCCTTAATGACTGGGCTCGTATAAAATGTTGCCCTCCCATCCTGCCAGTGCTGTCACAGCCGAAACCGACTGTGGACTGTGTCCAGCTCGCCCGATCGCATTTGCGCCAAGTCCGAACAATCCCCTGGAGGATGATTAGTTTTAAATCACCCTCCTGTGTGAGATTTACATACAAGTGGTACTACATGGAAAGTATTGTGCCAGGCGAAATGAGTCAGAAAGAGGGACGGACATAGAAAGATGGCATTCATCTGGGGAACATAAAGTAACAAAATAGGAGACTAACACCCAAGAGTGGCTGAGATTAGTACCAGGAGATTCACTCCATGGTTTGGAGGCCAGCCGCACATGCTAGGGGAAAAGGCAGCTCAGATAGAGAAGGGAGCAACAAATAAAGGGTGTTGGGAGGATCCTCCCAGGATGGGAGAAGCATGCTGAAAGTAGACTATAGTCCGAACATGATTGCCACTCAATACCTCTATTGCAAACCGCAGCTCACCCAAAGGGAGAGAGAAAACAGAAGGGAATGCCCTGCCACAGAGGCAGGGTGGGATGCGGGGGGGATGGGGCGTGGGAGGGATCCTGGGATCAGTGGTGGTGGAGAATGGGCACTGGTGGTGGGATGGGTATTTGATCATTGTGTAATTGAAACCCAGGCACAGGAATTGTGAATCTACAACTGTACCTCATGGTGTTTCACTAATAAAAATAAATAAATCGCCCTCCCGTTCTGTCCTCTGATGCTGACGGCTCGTCCACATCAGGAGGCGAGAGGCCGGGCCTCTTGTCCCCGTCTGGTAGACACTGCTGCCCAGGAGCTGCAAAAGAAATCAGCTTTTTATGTTACTGCCTTGAATCATTTTTACCTCCGCTCTTTCATAAATATTGATGACTGTGAAAAAGAGGTATTAAAAATATTGATCGGTGTTAGAGTAAACTAAACGTCTAAAAAAATAAAGATTGAGAGGTGGCGTATTTCAAGTTTATAAAATGAAAAGGACTGGGGGTGTCACTCGGCACAAAGACAGAGCGTGAGCCTGGCATGTGTGCGGCCCTGGGGTTTAGTCCCCAGGCGCCTGCCCCAGTTCCCTGGGCACGGCCCCCGTAGCAAGAACGTGGGGTTTTGGACTGGAGTGGTAGTGAAGCGGAAGTTTGATCCCTCGCACCTGTATGGTCCCCCGAATAGCACCAGGAATGATTTCTGAGTACAGAGCCAGGAGCACCGCTGGTTATCACCCCAAAACAAACAAACAAAAATGGGGAGGGGGTTCGTTGTTGTTACTTTGGGGGCCACATCATTCAGTGCCCAGGTGATTCGGAGGCCCATACGTGGAAGTTCCCTGCCAGGTCTGCCCTGCTGTCTCTTCAGCTCCACAAAAGCGTGTTGTTGTTGTCGTTGTTGTTTTAAGGAAAGTTGGGGTTTTTTTGTTTTGTTTTGTTTTTTGACTTTTTGGGTCATACCTAGGGCAGTGATCAGGGGTTAGTCTTGGTTCTGCTGCACTCAGGAATTACTCCTGGCGGTGCTCAGGGGACCATATTGGATAGAACCCGAGTCAGCCACATGCAAGGCAAGTGCCCTGACTGCTGTACTATCACTCTGGCCCCCGCAAGTGTTTCTTAAAGCAAAAAAGAGCTTTAGTTCAACTTGGTGGTAATCAGTTTACACTATTACAGAGATGAAGCTAGAGGAACTCCTAGCTGATAACTATAGAAAATGTTAAGGGATATTGCAGTTTTAGGGCCACGCCTCATTCTTTTGAAGAAATACCAGGAGGATGACTGTTTTTATTCTAAAACTGCCTTTTGACATCACTGTCAGCAGCTGAACTTGGTTTTGTATTTCTTCAATTTTCAGCATTGTTATGAATTGACAACAACAATGGTCTTGCGTGATTTAACGTCAACTCTGCTTTGTGGCGTTGGTCAACAAGGAGACTGCTTGTACTTTCTCCAGGCTAAATCCTCTGTTCAAATTCTCTTTGTAGCAAAGCAATGATATTGCAAGGGGCTTCGAGAGAGGACTGGAGCCAGAGAAGATCATCGGGGCAACGGATTCCTGTGGTGACTTAATGTTTCTAATGAAATGGTGAGAGCGATTGAACTTGGTCTGCAATTGTTCCTTTGCCAGCGACTCAAACGTATACAGAAGCCAGGGTGGCAAGACTGAGTTATCAAAGAATCTTTAATGTGGGGCTGGAGCGATAGCACAGTGGGTAGGGCGTTTGCCTTGCATGCGTTCGATTCCCAGCATCCCATATGGTCCCCTGAGCACCGCCAGGAGTAATTCCTGAGTGCAGAGCCAGGAGTAACCCCTGTGCATCGCCAGGTGTGACCCAGAAAGAAGGGGGTAAAATTCTAATGGATTTAAGAAATCCCTGAGTTTTGGTGTTCAACCAAATTTGTTGGCCCACACAGCAGAAAAGGGAAGCAGAACGTGACCCGGGCGACTGTTTGCACAGAGCTGAGTCATTTACCGTCAGGCTCCTGCCTGTGGCCGTGCGGGGGAGCCGAGTGAGGCTTTTTGCTTTCACTTGAGGTCCTGGACCACTGAATAGTGTCTCAAAGAAAAATAGAATTTCAGCAAAAAGCATTAAGACTAACACTGGCCAGGGTACAAGTTCCTTCATCCGGCAAGGGAGCGGCTCGTAGGGGAAAGTGCAGCCGACTTCCCCTCCGTCGGTTTCTCGAAGACAGGATGATTGAGGGTCTGGCCCTCCCTGCCTGTTTCCTAGCGTGCTGGACTCGTGATCTAAGTTCGGTCTCTAAATAGAGAGCTCATGCTGTCGTGCCGCCGAGGACGCTAATGACCATGAGAGTTTAATGGTTTATCTGATTGAAATGCTCTTGGTCTATTTCCTGAAAGCCTAAAGTTGGACCAAGAAAATCAGCAGCGTGTAGAAGAAACTCTATCGACTGCTTTTATTAACACGGCCATGTCTGCTTCTTACCGTTTAATTTCATGTAACAGAGATGATAGTTCAGCGGGCTGAGGGTGGGTTTTGCGCTCAGGAGCCCAGGGTTCGATCCCCGGTGCTACGTTTCTCCCCCGAAGCACTGCCAGGAGTCACCCCTAAGTACAGAACGGGGGTTACCCTTTGAGCACCACTGGGTGTGCCCCTGAAGCCAAAAAATAACAGTAATTGTAGATTGGTTTATAGATTAGCTTTTTTCGCCCACTCTAACCCAAATTTGAGTTTCTTTAAGTTATCTGGCTTTCTGCCTCCTTTTTCCCATAACACTTATCTCTGTGAATTAAATATCTGTTTTGTAGAAGAGGTTGTAATTGTCTTTGCTCACATCTCAGTGGAATTTTAATTTAAAAGAATTGGTTTTCGGGGCTGGAGCGATAACACAGCGGGGAGGGCGTTTGCCTTGCACGCGGCCGACCCAGGTTCGATTCCCAGCATCCCATAGGGTCCCCCGAGCACCGCCAGGGGTAATTCCTGAGTGCAGAGCCAGGAGGAACCCCTGAGCATCGCCGGGTGTGACCCAAAAAGCAAAAAAAACAACCAAAAAAAGTGCTCCAGCCAGTTCCGTGAGGTGTCCGACTCGAGTCCTCCTAAGTCCCTGTCTTCTAAATGGCCGCTGTTTCTTTCCAGGAAAGACACGGATGAAGCTGACCTGGTCCTGGCGAAGGAAGCAAATGTCAAATGCCCACAGATTGTGATAGCGTTTTATGAAGAGAGACTGACGTGGCACGCATACCCCGAGGATGCAGAAAACAAAGAGAAAGAAGCAGCCAAGAGCTAAAGGGGAGGGGCGCTGTCTTTTCTCTTTGTATATAATCCGTTTACCTTCCCGCCTCCTTCCCTCCTCCCACCCCCTCTATCCTAAACACATCCATAAAAAACGTGCTTATCACTGTGTTCCACAGGAGAAATGTTGGTATTGGTTCTCTTGTAAAATAACTGATGGTCTGATTCATGATACGTGTCTCTCCGTGAAGACCAGGCATCCACATGCTGTATGTAACCCCCTCCCTCCGGTTTTTTTTCCTCTGCCCTGACCTCTCCCTTCTGCTCCCCTGTGACCTCTAACTTTTTACTCACCTTCAAGTCTTGATCTTTTCAGAACCGGTCACTTTTTAGATTGGGAGATTTTGTTACAGTGATGATGAATTTGGTTCCTTGAGTTGGTTACTAGAACTTGTTGACGACCTGCTGGCCTTTGTCTTAGATTGTCGGGACGGAAAAGAGGCTGCCCCTCTTTTCCAAAAGCCAACGACGACTGCCTGCTTGTTGGGGTGCCTGCCCTCGGGGTCCCTCCCCCTGGAGGACGCTGGGTTTCTGGAATTGCCTCCTGAGCTGCCCTGTTGGCCCTCGGCTGGCCTTCGGAGGGTTGGCAGTGCTGCACCCAGGTCGGCCCAGGCACCTCCCGGGGCTCCTGGCCTCGTCCATCAGCAATTCCTGATTCTGAGTTTCAAGGTGTTGCAAGTCCGTCATGAAATGACACGATTCTTGACGGTGGGAGATGTTTAGCGCTACCTGCATGAGGATGATGGGGAGGGCGGGAGGGGGCAGTTGTCTCTATTATCACATGTGGCATATATGTATTATTTCCTTCTAGGCCTCGTATTTGGACTCTGTGTAGGTACGAGTGACTGCCTGGTGCTTGCTTGTGCCAAGGTGCTAGGCACCCCCCAGCCCTGCCAACTTTTGTGGCCTCCCAAAGCATTCCTGTTACCAAAGAGGCTTCGGACCCGACCCTCGCTTCTCAGTGGACCTGCGTCCCCGTGCCAGTTTTCAGGGGGGAGCTGGTGGCCGCCACTCTCTGCGTCACCAGTTCCCTGCGCCGTTGACGCCTGGATTTGCCACCAGGAGCCCTCGCAGTATTAATGCTCTTTCTCCTTTTTTCTGCCCTCAAACTCGGGTTGTGGCTGGGTGTTTTGGTTGGTCTTTGTTTTTTAATGCATTTCTGCGGAAGCGTCACCTCAGAGTGACAGGCCCTGGCTCTGGCGAGTTGACACAACCTCTCTCCTTCCTTGGCGAAATGACTCCCTTTGTTTCCCACTTGCTTTGCCCTAGGAGAGGCAGTTCTGATGATCCCATCTGACTTTTGTTCCTCAACAGACATCCTGCTTTTCTTCACCTCCTTGTAGTCAGAGGGCGGGGCGGGGGGGCGGTGCTCGGGAAGACGGAAAGTGAGGGACTAGCAGGGTTTTGAGTACGTCTTTGTCCCAGCTCAAAGCTGAGAAGTAAGAATGAACGCCTGAAATAGCCTTAACTCCAGAATTCACCAGCCACTGAAGTTGTGTTGTTAACGTTCGCTGTTCAGAACGAGCTGTCTGGCCGGGAGCATCCGGCCGTTTCTGGGCTCTTCAGAAGAGCGCGAGGAATAGATGGATCGCTCCGGTCCGCAGATGAGCCAAATAATATGCAAATCAGACATCCATTCATAGCATTTGCTAACCCTGCTTCCGCGCTCAGCTGCTGATTGAATTCTGCGTGCTTGTGTAAATTATGTCAGAAATGATGGTGCACAGTTGAGAAGACAGCTGTTGGCACAGTGACGTGACAGACGGCAACAATGGAGCTTTGGGGTTAAGTCGCCCAGGAAAGTCCTTCTGAATGGGGATGTGATTGGGTGGGAACTCGGCCCGTCTCTGGGGAGGGTGGGAGTTTCCGCTCCCTCTTGCTTTCCTCTCCGAACAAGTGCAGGGTGATTGGCCGCTCCGGTACTTAATCTGATGGGCAGTTGAGAGAGAGAAGCAGCGTGATCAGGACGAGATCAGCCTGCAGGTGACCAAGGGTCTCAGTCGGGCTGAGCGAGCACAGGGGCCCGAGCAGGGGTCTGCATCTCTCAGGTCGCAGGTGGCGGAAATGACCGCGCAGTGCGTGTCCCCCAAAGCCGTGGGGGTAGCAGCAACGCTGGTCCTCGTCTTTTCAAGCCAGACTAGCTAAAAAGTGTGCTCGAAAGCAAACAAGCACAAGTGGGTGTTGAGAAACCCGGGCCGCCTGGCAGCTGGCATCCTTGGAGGGAGCATAGAAACTTCTCTTTGGCTTCTTCTCTCTCACCTCGAGTAAGCCCCCGTGTCCTCCGATTCCCGTCACCTCTTTCGTCCCTTGCTTTCGGCTTCATCGTGCGGTCGGCCCCGTCGGTTGAGTCTTATTCTGAGGGCCACCACGGCATCTCGTGTTCGCTCCCCGGGTCCTCCCGGCTGCCTCCCTGGCAAGGTGGAGAGACGGGCCGTCCTGGCGGCAGCCCTCGGCAGAGCGGAGCCCAGATGCACGCCTGTGCCCGTGGCGCTTGTCAGTGCTGAGTAGCTTTTTCTGGCAGCAAACCTGTTTCCTCTGGGAACTTCGGGGCTCAACAGTCTTAAATCTCCGCGTCCTGGGTGCTCGGGTGCTGGGATGGTGTTTTCCCTGTGTTTAGTCCTCTTTCAGAAAGTCTGATGCTTTGTTGCGCTGATCGAAGCAGCTCTCTTCACCGACTGTTGGCTGGGGTTTGCCCTGTAAGCTGCTGGGGCCAACATGGCCACGTTTGAGCCCTGAGCTGGGCCGATGCTGGTCTGTTCAAGGTCAGCTGTTGGGGTCTGGGAGATAGCACAGTGGGTGGCAGGTCTCTGTCCGGTAAAGGTCAGCTAGTAGAATGGGAGCCCTGCTGGAAGCACCCTTCCCTCTCCCCCCTCCCCATCCATTTTGGTTTTTGACTTTCTGGGCCCCACTTGGCAGTGTTCAAGGCCTGTTCCTGCCTGTTCAGATCCGCTTCTGGCAGGAAGCACCCATTTTTAACTTAGAGCCATAAGGGAACATTTGAGTCGATGGTTCGCCTTAACGCCTAGAGGGTCTCGCTGGTCTCCTCTCGATTGGCCCCCATAACTGCGTTCTCCAGTTTTTGTTGGTGAAAAATGGGTCTGTTCCCACCGTTAGTGCTTCAGAATTATTTTTGTTTCGTTCGTGCCCGGGATCTAGCTCAGGACCTCGTCCGTGTGAAACGTGCTTTCTTACCGCTGAGCTACAGTTCTGGCCTGTTGGCGCTTCTCTGCTTTCTGGTCCGTCTGCTGTCTTCATTTCTCCTGTGTTAGGGCCAACGTCTAGGGACCTCGGGATTCTCACCTTGTTGGATCTCTGGTTCGTGCCCACTCTCCTTAGGGATGGGGTGGGGGGCGTCGGGTAGGATGGGTAAAGAGAGTCTTTGTTTGAACGGGAAAGTCAGTGCCTCTACTTTCACGGCTTGAATCGGAGAACCCAGAATACTGCTTTGCCCTGAGGTGAGAGGCCCAGAAGTTGCTGTGTCGCTCTCTGCAGTGGAGAGGGAGATCCTTCTGCAGCCTGACCCCAGCTTTCCGGTTCCAGTTCCAGTTTGGAGAGTGAAGGTAGAGCGTTGTGTGCACCGTTTCCTGGTGATTGGGCCCCCTGTGTGTCTGGACGATGAGGAATCCCACCGTGAGTCCAGACTCATGCTGGCTTGGCCACTGCTCCTAGAACCGTGCTCTCAGGAGTAAGAGCGGCTCCTGACCCTGCACCCGGAGAGCACCGGAGCCGGGTTGCCCCGTCCAGCGCCAGGATTGGGGTGCATTCTCCTCCATGCCCCGGCATTTCCATCCAAAAAGAGGTTTTGGCCCTGAGGGGCCAAGATCAAAAGAAGGTCTGATCCCTGACCAAGGAACGTTCACGTTGTTGAGGAACAAACCGTTCATCAGGCTAGGAAAAGCAGTGAATGGATTCACGTTTCCGATTTGGGGCCAGAAACAGTTGATGTCTGATCGAGTCTGTGGCCCTGTGGTCAGTGGCGGGATGGCACGATGATCTTGCATGACCCGGGTTCGAGCCCGGGCTAACTGGCTCTAGAAAGACCACAAGGACTTGTTTTATTCCAGAAAGTAAGACAATTAAAGGTTAGTCAGAATTGCTCTTGGTAGCAGAAAACAAGTGAATGGGGATGAAAGATCCCTGGTTGGGTTCCTGCTTTAGGTTCTTGGCTAAAGGATTCAGTGGCATTGCTAGTCCACGCGGCGGAGGGCCGTGGCGGGACCAGTCACGTGTGACTCTAACGCAGGTCTTCGGACTTGCTCTTACCTTTTTCCAGTTGTTCAAGCCTTTTGGAGTCCTTAACATGAAAGTGGCTTGAAGCCCAAAATGGAGACATTCTTTGGAGAGGTTTCACAGTTTCTAAAACGAAGGCTTGAGGGTATGTCTGGTCACATCTAGGCAGATTTTTCTGAGCTGTTTGTTTCATTCAACTGGAACACCCGTTTCTAAGCAGAGATTTGTGTCTCTTCTGCGGAAACCTAGCCCCAAAATAGATGGACTCTGGATTACCCTGTGAGGAGAGGTTTAGGGTGAGGTGCTGAGATAAACTCTCCAGAGTCTTAGCAAGGTTCCAAGTTCTAACTCTTGACAACAGGAAAAAATCTTTTTCTCTGGATGACTGAGAGGTCAGGCTTCCTAGGAATTAGAGTCTCTTCTGGAAAACTGAAGTGTGGAAGTTTTTCTTTGGATAACTTCCTAGAAGCGATTCTAGTCGCTCTTGACCTGCGCTGGGTTTCTTGAATTTTAATCTACCTCATCTTCTCTTTCAATGTAGGTCTTTCCGCTTGCTGCCCTTAACATCACCTTGACTTTGGGCTTGTTTTTTCTTTTCCCCTGTTCATATTCTCCTGCCTTTTCATCCTGATCCTCATTTCACTTAGTATTATATCACATTGTTTCTCTGTAGGATAAAGGTCTGGAAGTAGTTCGAAATCCTGCCCAGTGCATCTGAGAGATAGGAACCAGCAGGTAGGAGGCACTTGCTTTGCATGAGGCCAAGCTGGGGTTCGAGCCCTGCCGGGAGTAGGCCCTAACACTGCTGGGTGTGGCCCGAAAGCCAAAGTCGACCCTGGTTTTTTGAGAAGAAAGCAGCTGCCTAATGCCATTCGTCTCTGAGATCCGCAAGAGAAGGAAGGGGTTAAAACAAGTGGGAGGGGGCGGGGTCAACCTGTGTGGAGGGAGCTGACGGGGAAGAGCCATTAATTAAGATAATTTCAAAGTCAACTGATTGTGATCATTAATGTCACAATAGATCAAAACCTAATTATCACAGCCTAGGTAAGAGCCATCAGTATTAATCGGAAAATCTGATAGGAAACTATTATCAAGAAATTAGACCAAATTGAATGCAGTGAACTTTTTGTCTTGTCATTCTCTCCGTTTTTGTGTCTGATGTCCCCTGGCATTGGCCGCTGTGACCCTTACAGTTGACCCGTCTCCCGGTGGCCAGTTTGTCACAGGTCG